TTGATAAGCATTGTCATTTGTCCATTGACTGGGTACTATTGCTAATTAGGAATTTTCTTCGCATCATCTGTACGAACATCCCTAATTGATTGTTGTACAGTGCCGCTGACGTTAGTATCCTATTAGCAGTGCGTTTATCTCTCAGTGATAACAGCATTGGCGACATACCTCGATTGGTAAAGTTGTTGATGATGATGATGAGCTGTTCAGTTTGTGTTGAAGTACAGGTAGCTGTCAGTTGCTGGGTATAGTTTGAGTGAAGAGCTCAGTGAAAACTGATAGTAGCCTTTCTTTTAGTCAACACTGCAATCTCTTTAGCAATTTGTTCCACTTGCACTGAGAGCGTTTATTTTTAAAATCAGCAGCAGTCAATCAGTCTACTACTACGACAAGAGTGGCTAGCAATTTTTAAAAATAGTAAAGATGAGTTCGGTAAAGAGATGTGCAGTGGCCAAAACCAAACAGTGTGCAGCACTGTTCACTGTCTCTGCGACAGCAGTCTGTCCGCCACTCTCACGAGGCGTACTTGTGTCTGGTCACGTAGGCACACGTCACAGCAGTCTCGTGGTTCAGCTTTTCAGTGCATTCACTCGCTCTTTTTTTCTAATGTGAATTGGCCTGCACTGCTCACAGAAGGGTGCTCAACAGAGTTTCTCTCTTTCTTTCTCCCCTGTCTGTCAGGGAGAGAAAACAGAAGAGACAGATTCAGTGCAGACAGCTTCACAGCGCCAACAGAATTTGAATTTGAGCGGTCCAAGCTCAAGTTTGGTGCCGGTCATCAAAGCAGACGAACATAGATGGCGGTCAAGTGTAACTTTTGAAAGTGACAGCGCCTTTTCAATCTCCCTCTCTCTAATTCCACGCTCAGGTGTACCTTTCCACCCGGACCGGATCGTGGGTGTTCCACCGAGTGGGCAGCAATGGCCGCCCCTTTGACCAGTACATGCACCGGCGCATCTTCAACTACCTCTACAATCTGATGCCCTACTGGGTGACCTGTTGGTTTCTGGAGCTGTACCTCAACTCGGTCTTCAATCATGAGGACTACCAGCTGCGTCCAAAGCACCGCTGCCTGTCGCAGCACATTATGGTGAGTAGTCAAATTGCAACTTTATTTTGCATTTCTAAATTTTAAAATCTGTTACTTTTTAGGTTAATGATGCACTGCCTAACCGCATACTGAGTGGCACTGTAACGGTGAAGGGTGACATTGATTACCTGACAGAGACGGGCGTAGTTTTCAAGGGCGAGACAACACCGGTTCCCTGTGACGTCCTTGTTAAGGCAACTGGCTACAAGGTGGTTTTTCCCTTCATCAGCGAAGAGCTCGTTCCGGTGCACAAGAACAAAGTTCGCCTGTACAAATGGCAGTTTATTCCGAACATCAAGCACGCCCACACTCTGGCCTTTATCTCGTTGGCTCAACCAATCGGTGCACTGCTGCCCATCGGAGAGGTACGTTGACATCTTCAGGTTAATGGGCTGATAGTAACAAGTTATTTTGCTACACAGCTTCAATCTCGTTGGTTTGCCCTGCTGATGGCGGGAAAGCTGAAACTGCCATCAAGAGAGGAGATGGAGGCCGATTTGCGTGAAAAGGAAAAGTTTCAAGAGCGATTCTATGAAAGTGAAAGGTGAGCAGAAGCGGTCTAAATGAGCACAGCTCTAATTTGTTTCGGTCGCAGGCACACTATTCAGGTGGATTGGGTGCCCTTTATGGATGAACTGTCTAAGGAGATTGGCGCCTACCCATTCATTTGGAAGTACGTGTTCACCGATCCCAAGCTCTTCTTTGCCCTGCTGTTTGGTGCCTGTGCGCCCTATCAGTACCGTCTGACTGGTAAGTTTGGTAAGCTTGTTTAAAACTAAGTTTAAACATCCTTACCACCTTTTAGGTCCCAACAAATGGTCTGGAGCACGTGAGGCAATTTTGACCGTTCAAGAGCGCATTGATGCTGCTCTTCAAACAAACCGTGGCAAGGCAATCTCCACCAAGGCACCGTCAGCACTGGCCACTTCAATGAAAAATCTCAATTTTTTTCACTTTCTCATCATCTTTGTCGTCATTGCGCTTGGCTTTGCAGTCACCCTTTCCACCGTGCTTGTGTCGTCCATCTTTTAAGCTTTTAATTACACCGTCTAGAGATGACTTGGTTTTTAAATGATTTGTAATGATTTGTAAACATATTTCCTTTTATTTTCAGTGAAAATTGTGTGCAGCAGAGCAACTATTTTAAATGTAACAGTATCAGTATGCAGTTGTTTGCTAGCATTAAAAATTTCAATTGTAAATGTGCGGATTTTTCGCCCCGATGGTTTGTTGTTGTGCTCCAATGAGGGTCTACATGAAAGCAAACTGTTGATATAAACACCAGCATGTCAACTGTACTTTGCCATTAGTCTGGAAGAATGTCTCTTTGGGTGGTTTGCTTTACAGTTTTAGTTGCAGTTTTCTTTCAACTGCTACCGATTACCAGTGGGCAAACCAATGGCACCTGGTTTGATCGGTACTACTGGGGCAGTCTTTTTGGCAATACGGTATGCTGAGCCGATGGTCGATTCTTAAAATTCAACACACTTTTTACTGCAGCCTCAACTGATTCAGCTTCGTGGTTTTGCCTCGGAAAACCACAGCGTCGTCACACCTGACGGCTATGTCATTCAAATCTTTCGCATCGTCAATCAGAATAGAAGCCGTCCCGGCTATCCACTGGTCATCTTTAATGGCCTTTTCCTTGCTTCAGAGGCCACTCAGGACAACTCGGATGGCGTTTTCAACCCGCAAACTGGCGTGTACACTGAGTTTGAGCTCAACTTTAGAACCGCTTTTCAGCTGCTGTGCCCAGCTCGCACCTTTCCAGTCAGTGCCGGCCGCGGTCTGCCGTACACCTTGGCCACCTGTGGATTTGATGTGTGGCTTTCCAACCAGCGAGACGGCTTTGGATATTCTTCGCACATCTACCTCGATCCTCAACGCGATCCTCAGTACTGGAACGTCAACCTGGACTCGTACACTACTGACGCTAAATCGGTAGTTGATTACGTGAGGAGGCAGACAAAGGCAGCCACAGTAGGCGCCTTCTGCCACTCAATCAGCTGCACTACTCTCATTCAACTGCTGGCCGACTACTCACCGTACAATGACCTTCTCAAGCCGGTGTTTTTGCTGGCGCCAATGATCTACTCGGGGAATGTCACCTCAATTCCGTTGACACTGCCGGCGCTTGCTGTTCCTCTCTTAAGGTGGGTTTTACTGTGGATCGCCCAATTCTGCTGATCGTTTATGAAACTCTTTCTTTTTTGAATTTAGCAATCTGCTCATGCCAACACCTGATTTCCGCTCGTGGCGTCCACTCTACGCTGACGCTGTTCGCCGTTCAGCCTTTCTTCGTTTTCTAACGCTGTTTCTCTTCTCCTTCGTTGGCGGCATCAACATTGACGAGCTGGACCTCTACCGAACCTACCGAATACCGGCTCACTTTCCGGCAAACGTTGCTTTTCGAGTCCTGGCTCACATTGGACAGCGACGACTCGTTTCGGGCAAAACGAATCTCTTGCCAAAGTACGACTACGGCCCAGAGGAGAATGTAAAGGTGTACAGTAGGTCAGTGCCGCCAGGGTATGATCTCAGCAAGGTGACCAGCAAATACTTGATTCTCTTTCGTGGGCTGTATGACATCATTGCCGATGCACAAGATCTCGACCAGCTAAAGTCAGTGCTGACAGTACCGCTGATGGCGGAGATTCGCACCTCATACAGTCACACTGACTTTATCTTTGGCAGAACAGTCAATGAGACTATCATCTTGCCGATTCTACGTTTTCTGCATCAACTTCAACTCAATTACAATTAAAAGCGTTTACAGCAAAAAAAACTCAGATTTAGCTAATCGGTTCCAAAGTACTTTCTGCCAAAGTGCACCGGCACAATGGGGTGAATGTCCACCGTCTGTATGGTGACCTTGGTGAAACGGCTTGACACGGCTTTGATAGCTGATGAAAATGGGGGGTAAAATGACGGTTCATTTAGTTCATGTAGGTTATCAACCGCCGATGTTATTAGTTACCTTTTGGAGTTGCGAAAAGATTAATGAGAATGATGTTTGCCTCTTTGACGTTCCTCTCCAGCAGCAGCTGAATGGCCTTGATAACGGTGGCGCCGGTGTTTATGATCGGATAGAGAAGCAGCACCTTTCGCAGCGACACGTCGTCGGGCAGTTTGGCGTAGAGGACGCTAAGAGTTGCCTTCTGCGAATCAAAACTTTCATACTTTTCAATGATGATCTTGCCAATACGAATCGCCCGACAGGCGTCACGCAGTCCCTTCTCCATGGCCTCGCCAGAGCGGACGATCGACACGCCGCAGTTTGACTTGGCAAAGCTGACCCCCTCGTAGGTGCCACCCGGTGGCGTGGTCACCGTCTTGGCAGTTGAAGGCAGGTGGTTCAGGGCGTCCTCAATGACCAGGCGAATGAGGCGGTCAGCGTCAAAGACAAAGTCCTCACGTGTTGAACTTCTAAACAGGGTATGAGTGTGAGTGAGTTTAGTTGTGGAGTGATCACTTAATCATTACAACAACAACTCACATGTTTCTAATGGTAGTCTGCAGGGCAATGGTGTTGTTATTCGGTGCCAGAATGCGCAAGGTGGGCACTGTTCGAAGAAACTGGGCGTTAAGCTCGTTGGCCTTCATTGTCGTGACCACGGGAGGTTTGGAAATCAACACTTCTTCGGACGGAGAGACCATGTTTAGGCGTTAACACTGGCGCTATTTCGACTGGGCAATGCTACTGAAAGCACCAAAAATTAAGGTAGTCATTACAGCCACTGGCAACTGACAGACTGATTTTGATATTCGACTCATATGTGAGTTCACGAAAAAATGTCAAAATGCGGTTGCTGAGAAACGTCGTTTTAACAGTTTACAAAAGCAATGAAACATGAACAACGTAAAAGGTCAAACAAAATGTAAAAATATGTAGGAAAAAAATTCAAATCTAACAAATATATTAAAACTTCAATGGGCACTACAGGTAACATTTTTATCGCTTAAAATTGTCTCATCAAAAGTTTAAATACGAATCACATGATCGCACTGATTTGCACGTGTGCAGCTAATTTATTCGCGACAAGTAAAGTGGAGGTGCAGGATACGCTGCAAGTTTCTGCAGAACAAAAAAGTAGCAGTTACCAAAATAGCAAAAATATTTGTGCAAATTAAAATAAATGGCAATCTGTTGATTTTAATTCCAAAAACAAGTTAGTTGCTGAATAAAAAGGTGTACAGCAATTAAGTCAAGATGTCATTCTAGTTTCAGCAATTGCAGCTAAGAAACTGCTCTGTAAAAATGTACCTCGCGTTTAGACGGTTTGTTTTGCCTCTTTTCTTTTTGGTGATCCTTTGCAGTGCTCAAGTAGAGGAGGAGGAAGAGGAAGAGGAGGCTGGTGGACCAGCGGTGAATTCTGTAGTTAACCTCATATCGAACACCCACACCTGTGCATCTCGGATGCGCCACTTTGACGGACCCTGCTCCTCGTCCTTGTCCTCGTCATTCACCCCCAACATGGCGCTCTACTCGGCTGACTCTTGTCGTCAACTGGACAACTACAACGAATGCATCCGCAGTAAGCTGCAGTCAGATCAGTGGTGTCGCCAAGCCAAACAGTTAATGTTCAAAACAATTGATGATGACTATCGGACCAAATGCGGACGGTTTGAAGGGAAAGTAGAAGCTGAAAGTATTGTCTGATGTATTGTTGAGTGTTTTGTACAAGCTTTCTTTACAAATAAAAAGGTTTTGTCCGGTTTCACTTTGAACCTGAGCACGGCATCAGCTGTTATCATGTTTGCTGATAAAAAGCAGCACTATCACAGGCACTGTGATCTATTCTTTTGTTTACGATTGGCCCATTGTAGTTTCGATTTTAGGCACCTCCTCAAAACAACAAGATTCCAATTTGGCAGCATGGCACAACAACCTCTGAAGCACAACTGCAAAAAGGCGGATTTTCTAAATCTTCTGGAGAAAAACATTGAATCTCTGCGCTTCTTATCTGCCAAGACAAAGGGGAAAAGCAAAGTTGTTGCCGAAAAAATGAACAATCTTGTTTTGAAACGAAATCAAAACACTTGTTCTTGCATAAAGGAGCATAATGAGATCCTCAAAAAGAAGATACTGTCAAAGTTTGCTGTCAAAGTCGCTCAAGCAAAACTGCGTTTTCCTGCTGGTAATTTGTACTTTTTACGTGCTCTCAGACGTTCTTCATATTCTACTTCTTTTTAGCTCCAACTGTGCTAAAAACATCAACGAACCAGGCACCACTTGAAAAACCGCTAGAAAAAACATTGTGTTCAAGTCCAAACAAAACTGTTGATTCTCAACACAATAAACCAGATGGAAAGCCAAAAACACTAGCAACACCGTCCCCAAGCAAAAAACTATCACATTGTCCATCTGAGAAACCTTATCCTCGAAATGTATCCGGCGCCCCTTGCCCCGAAAATGGCTGCAACTGTCGTCTGTTCACCGTGTTCGAGTACTACAGCCACATAGAGCAAGCTCACGGAGTAAGGAAGCTCAAGTGCCCCGTTTCTGACTGTGATGAGTACTTTGGGGATTTCCTTCTGCAGGAGCTGCATAAACACGCCACCCACTGTCACCCTGAACTGTCTCAGAACGAGAGAAAATGTGCCGAGTGTGGTCACGTTGCCAGCAGTCTTCTAGTGATGATGTACCACCAGTTTGAGCACCACACGTCTGGTGAATGGTGGTGCCGAAAAGGATGCGGATTTGCCGCTAAACTGCGCCGCGATTGGATCTTTCACGAAAAAAGGCCGTGTCGTCCATTTAAGCCGTTATCTTATTATCCAATATTACTTTTATAACTCACTGTTTTACCCTCACTGTTACCACATATGTTACATGACAATTTTATATTTACAAAAAAAATACATTTTTTCATTATTACATCTTTTGTATTAGCTAAAAACTGTTTTTACAAACAACTGATAACAAAAAAACTTTAATTTCTACTTTCATCATGTCCGTTCTTGAACAGTTCATCATAACTGGGAGGTTTGTCGTCCACTGTCTTGATCACTGAGCTGTTTTCTGGTCTAGCCTGCTGGGCGACCCTTTCGACAGTGCCACTTCGCTGGTGGTACATTACCTGGAAGTGTTCTCCATGCGGCGCTGGTACTCGAAGTGCGGTTGACTGCTGCTGCTGCTGCTGGCTAGCTGACGTTGAAAGCTGCTCATTTCGGTGTCTTCTAGTAGAGCACCTGGCACAAACACAGCAGCCGCAAATGCAGGCAATCCAAACGACGCCTATCACTACAAAAATAAGGTACAATTTGTCGTAGCTGATGATTGAGTAATTGTTGAAGGCCGATGAATGGTGGAAAATACTGATGAGTAGAAAGAGGGTAGGCAAAACTGATTTTAAAAACATTTTAAAAATAAAAAATTTTCTATGTGTTAACTGCTTGCGCGTTTCTCTGTGCACAAGTGCCGTTTTAGATGACGCTAATAAAAACTAGAGCTTAGTGTGAACAGATCCATTGGATACAAACTGATAAGAGACTGTGCTGTGAAGGGCAAGGATAATAAAATTTTTAATAGAGAAATCCAACTGCCTTGTGGTCAAAGTTAATTTAAATTACACAGCTTTGATGTGGGGGAACATTTACTCCGGTGTGGTGATTCAGTGGGCCTGTCTTTCCGAGATGGTCACCGGCAGCCGTTTGGCAGACATCAGTATTGAGCCGTTGTAGTACTCAAGCTCGAGGCCCTTTTCAGCCTCCACCTTGTAGTTGAGAATGAACTTGGCCAGTCCAATTCGAAGCTCATTCTGGGCGAACCTCATGCCGACGCAAAGTCTCTGCCCATAACCAAAGGGCGCAAAGGCAAAATGATTCTCCGGCGAGGTCTCCTTCTCAAAGAACCGCTCTGGCTTGAACTCCAACGGATCGGGAAAGTATTCGGCATTGCGGTGGATTGAGTACGGCTGTATGATGATCAGCGTGTCCTTGGGAATCTTAATGCCCGTGTCCAGCAGCTCACAATCCGCCTTTGCCTCTCGGTGGAACTCTATCAACGGTGGTCGCAATCGTAGCGTTTCGTTGATGATCGCATTTAGAACCTTGAGATTTTTAAGCGTGTCATAGCTAATCTCGTCTTGCAGCTCAGTTAGCTCTTGATAAAGCCTGTCTTGCCACTCAGGGTACTGCGTCAGATAGTAGATGATGTGTATGAGTGAAGAGAGCGTTGTATCAAAGCCAGCTATGAAAAAGAGGATTCCCTGTCCTGACATCTCCTCTTTACTCAAACCTTTCAGCGAGCCGTTGAGCTGGTCCTCTGATTTAGAGTCGGCATTGGCACTTTCAATCATCAGTCCAAGGAGATCAGGGTTTTCTGTAAAACACCNGTAAAAACTTACGTTTGGCAGAGTTTTTCAGTCGCTGTTCAACAATTTTAAACGTCAAATCATCAAAGTAGTC